TCATTGGATTCGTAGAATTTTTTGGAATCCGCAGACACCTGCCTCGAATTCCAACTCAGCGCCGTTCCATAGATATTTAAGAAAAAAGAAATTGACACGTGACCTTTCGCCAGCACAAATCTCGAGCGGAAGCAATTGTCATCCCCCCGGCGCTTTCGAAAAAGCAATTTTATCTCAGCTAATTCCGAGACGGTTGCCACTCCGAAAAATGAAATAACGTTTTCGCAGTTTTTTTAATTAATAACTCCGCCGATTATTGTCGTACGAAGATGGGACCGGTATCGATGGATTCGTTGATTTTTTTCGAATACGGGGATATGCGTTTCGAATCGCAACTCGGAGCCGTTCCGCAGATATTCGAGAAAAACGAATTTGGCACTCGGCCAAATCCCTAAAATAGGGGAAACCCGTGAAAGAAAGTGCAAAACGTAGGGAAATGTAGGGAGAAAATCAGTTTTTAATTAATATCTCGGCTAATTAAAGTCGCACGAAGATGCCGATGGTCAATCCGGCGAGCCACGGGCATTCTGAATCCAACGGTACCTTCCGCTAAGCTCTACACCCAGCCGTTCCCGAGGAGATGATGTTACAAACACACAAACAGACAGAGGCACACAGATTTTAATAGTATAGACTAGCGGGCAAGCCCGCCAGCTGAGCGGGCTGAAGCCCGCTTATCATTGTTCGTTTTTAAAAGATATCCTATGTTAAATTTGGCCGGTATTGAAAAGTTGAACCGAACTACCATTTTTTAGCGGCATTCCGCGGGCTTCCCCCGCTTTTTTCACCTATGCATCCAGAAGTTACCGCATACACTATACATATGCGGAAAATCACGAAAACACCCATGCTTCCAGCCCTTTCGCGGGTATTCGAAATTTGGACCGAAATACCAGTGTTCAGCGCTTTTGGGCGGGAGCCCGCCCAAAACAGTGTTCACGTGTGCATGCAAAAGATACTGCGTACACCGTACACATGCGTAAAATCACGAAAACACCCCTCCAGCCAGCCCGCTGCCGATTCGAAAGTTGGACCGAAATACAATTTTTCAGCGATTTTGCGCGTGCTGTGCCCGCTTTATTCACGTATGCATGCTGAAGATGGTGCATAAACGATACACATGCGTAAAATCACGAAAACAAACATGGAGCCTGCCTGTTCGCCGGTATTCGAAAGTTGGACCGAATTACCAGTGTTATGTGGCTTTGCGCGGGCTCTGCCCGCTTTATTCACATATACACCCAGAAGATACTCCATACACTATACACATGCGTAAAATCACGAAAACACCCATGGAGCCAGCCAGTTCGTCGGGATTCGAAATTACCGCATTACCGCATTACCAGTATTCTGTGCCCGCTTTATTCACGTATGCATCCATGAGATACTTTATAAACGATACACATGCGAACAATCACGAAAACACCCATGCAGCCAGCCCGCTCGCCGAGATTCGAAAGTTTGAGCGAACTACCAGTGTTCAGCGGTTTTACCCGGTATCCGCGCGCTGTATTCACGTATGCGACCAAATTTTATGTACAGTACCCCGGAATTCGAAAGTTGGACCGAACTACCAGTGTTCTGTAGTTTTGCGCGGGCTGCTCCCGCTTTATTCAAGTATGCATGCAGAAGATACCGCATACACGTTACACATGCGAAAAATCCCGAAAACACACATTGAGCCAACACGGTCGCTTGGATTCGAAAGTTGGACCGAACTACCAGTAATCAGAGGTTTTGAGCGAATTTCGGCCGCTTTATTCACTTATGCATCCAGAAGATGCTGCGTACACGAGGCACATGCGTAAAATCACGCAAACACCCATGGACCCAGCCCGTTCGCCGGGATTCGAAATTAGGACCGAACTACCAGAGTTCAGCTTTATTCATTTATTTATGCATCCAGAAGACACTGCATACACAACAGATATGCGTAAAATCACAAAAAAACATGAGTGTAGCCTGCCTGCTCACCGGGATTCGAAAGTTACCGTATACCATCTCAAAGGAGCAAAGAAAAATCTTTAATCTAAAAAAAAAAAAAAAAAAAAAAGTGTGAATTTAATTTTTATTGGTGCGAACTTATTTAAAATATCATTTGCATTAAAAGATAATATCTAAATTAAGTGCACGTATCTAATAACATAAAAAAATATATTATTCCAAAAAATCAAATTTATTATTAAAAAAATAACAACATATTTTTAAAAAAATAGCTTTTTCAGATTTTTTAATTAATATCCCAGCTGATTAAAGTTGTACAACTTCAAGAACGTCATCATTTAAATTTAATGTAATATAATAACTTTTATTCAATATCAATAAAAGAATTAACGTGACAATCATCCTAACCTGAAATTAAAAAAAAATTGTGAAAAGCAGCTGTTTATTTAAAATGCCTACATTAACGAAATATTTTTAAAATACAGTTAGGTAACATGCAATCGCGTGCTTTATTCAACTTTAGAATATAAACCTTGATTTGTATCTGCGGCGATTCAAGAAACTGTTGCAATCGGAAAAATGAGCCCGAAAATTAGCGTTTTCACAGTTTTTTAATTAATATCTCAGCTGATTAACGTCCTACGAAGATGAGAATGGTATCATTGGATTCGTAGAATTTTTTGGAATCCGCAGACACCTGCCTCGAATTCCAACTCAGCGCCGTTCCATAGATATTTAAGAAAAAAGAAATTGACACGTGACCTTTCGCCAGCACAAATCTCGAGCGGAAGCAATTGTCATCCCCCCGGCGCTTTCGAAAAAGCAATTTTATCTCAGCTAATTCCGAGACGGTTGCCACTCCGAAAAATGAAATAACGTTTTCGCAGTTTTTTTTAATTAATAACTCCGCCGATTATTGTCGTACGAAGATGGGACCGGTATCGATGGATTCGTTGATTTTTTTCGAATACGGGGATATGCGTTTCGAATCGCAACTCGGAGCCGTTCCGCAGATATTCGAGAAAAACGAATTTGGCACTCGGCCAAATCCCTAAAATAGGGGAAACCCGTGAAAGAAAGTGCAAAACGTAGGGAAATGTAGGGAGAAAATCAGTTTTTAATTAATATCTCGGCTAATTAAAGTCGCACGAAGATGCCGATGGTCAATCCGGCGAGCCACGGGCATTCTGAATCCAACGGTACCTTCCGCTAAGCTCTACACCCAGCCGTTCCCGAGGAGATGATGTTACAAACACACAAAACAGACAGAGGCACACAGATTTTAATAGTATAGACTAGTGGCCGAAAAAATTGAGCAGCGTAGCATGCTATAAAAAAATCTGTATTCCAAAATTTTAAACGTTGTGCCTTTTTTTTTTTGCTGCGATACTTTTTAAGATTTTTGCGGCTTTAACAGAAAAAGAAATGCAAAACTATATTTTTATCATTTAGAAAGTCTTTTTAACATTGTGAAAAATCTCCTGATTTTTGAGTGTCATAGGTTGGCAAGTATGCAAATGCAAATATAGAATTAATGAGATCAAAGATATATTTATTTGTATGTTATACACATTCAAAAATGAAATCCAAAATTTGGCATGCTCAATAGTAAAGAAAAATCAAACAGGTACATTACTCCTTCAACTAACAGGAACTTAATGTTGGTGAAATTTAAGTGTGCATGACGAACTGGTCGGGCATGTCATTAAAAAATATAAATAGGTATGATACTTTGTTTTATGTCAACTATATCCAATTAAAAACGTATAAATTGACTAATCTCTAAACATACTTTGGATAATTTTTTAATCCCTGAACGCACAGAACTAATCCAAGAAAAATATCACATTCGACTAGTAGTAATAATTGATATTAGAACTGATTTAATGCATGTTAATAATTTCTTTAACTTGTTATATTTGTATTGTTTTGTAATGTTTATGTTAAAAAATTAAATATAGAGTGAAATAATTATTCACAGCATAAGCATTAACCCCTTCGCGCTGGGTAGCGCAAACGCGCGCTTATCGCGGAAGCCGGCAGTGTTACGCGAGCGTCTGTCCAGGACCGGGGGCTTTTTTGCTATTAAGCCTAAATCCATGAAATTTCCGAAGTATCAACGTATTGTTTAATAATGCTCTATAGAGTATTTAAACGGCTTATGTTTATAGATATTTTTATATATGTACTTTAATTACCTTATTTCTTGTTTAAATGCATATTTTGCACATTTTATTTTCATTACTCACCATTTTATGACTTTTAACATTATACATCTGCAAACTAAATATATTACTTAAAATTCTCACTACGTTACATAGTATGACTATCACTACTATCAGAATCAATATCTGAAATATTTTGCATCATTTCTGCTATTTCATGCTCTGTTAAACATTTTCGACGCTTCGACATTGCAACGGTAAAAACAGAAAGAATGCACGTCTAACAAGATCTAATTATTTTCTAAATACTGAACTGCAAACCGAAATACCCAACGCTTTAGCAAAAATAAAACTTCTCTACTTACAATAAACAACTACCACGTGCGAATTTAAAGAGACGTCGTAAAGCACACCATTCGGAAAGATTTATTTCCCCTTTTGTTTATATAATCAAAAACACGTGTATGTGAGTCATGCTTCTCTCATTTCGAGTAGGTCTAATGTACATGTATCTGAAACCATATACAGTGCCATCTTGTGGCAGAAATTATAGTTTTTAAAACGTTCCAGGACACTGGCACAAATACGTGACAGTCGGGGCTGTACGGGAAAATGCTCTGGCACGCCTGCGTGTTGGCCGGGAAGTGAGTGTGTTTGTTGCTGGCATGTAGACGTGACAGTCGGCGTGAAGGGGTTAAGCATAAATATGGCAGAATCACTATTCAAAGAAAAATTAAACTATGTGCATTTGGTTATAAAATAAAAGTGAGTTATATCTCTATATATTTCTTTGATAAGCAAGCTCTTTCTATATACAGAAAGATCTAACATCCAGAAAAGTAGAAACAACAAAAAATGCAAATTGTCTCCATTTAAATCACTGTTAGAAGATGGCATAAGCTACAAATTATTTATTATACAAGTAGTATTTATAATTACAATAAATTTACACTTCTGCAACTTGACATAATTTGTGTTAACTCGTGAAATATATCACGTTGTATATATTAAAAAATGGCTGTTGGTTTTTTTGAAATGTAAATACAATACTCTGACACATAAAATGTTTAAAAAAAGACAACTCAGAAAAATTTTACAATTCAATGACTGAAATTTTCTGTGTTTAACATTTATCTCGCAGCCAAATATAACTTGTTCAGAATGAATTCAAAAACAATGAAGTGATATTTTACAAATTATTTGTCTTTTTTGTGCTTTTTCTTCTTTTTCAGGTGTTTGAATGAATCACTCTGAAATGATAAGATGACAATTATATAGTTTAAGATCTCGTAATGTACCAAAATACAAATAATTTATTAACAGTTAAAATTTTCCAAAAATATGCATTCTGAATAAATATATGCATGCATTTGAATAAGGGAAAGTTTGCAATTATTAGTGCAGTACATAAAACATCTGACACACAAACAAGAAAGCATTTTGAAGAGGAAAACACTTACTCTACTTAAAATGTTTTTTAAACCAGTGGTTCCAAACTGTGTACTGCGGCCTCTATATAGTGCCGTGAAATAGTGTAAAAACTTCATAATTAATTGAACCAAAACATTTAGCCTAACTAAACGAAGAAAGAAGATAAAAATATCTAGAATTTGTTTTTACTTAAACCTGTATGAAAGTGAAGTTGCCGATGCAGAATATTCTTGCAAACACGAACCGGCGGCCCTATGTTTCCCCAATTGCAGTACACCTCACGACAGTCTAACTTGCAAACATGTATAAAGCTAGAACGACTTTTTCACTGCTCATTTTGAAACAAATAAACCATGAATTTTTCTTTGTATTGTTGCCAAAGTTAGTAAGTCATAATGTTTGATTCATTGGTTCATTTATAATGTTAGTTTGCGTCTACCAACTTTCAGAGGTAATTTTTTTCCTCGTAGTTGAAAATTCACCATTTTTTTTCAGCACGGATTTCATGCAATTTATGCTTATCACAGAAAATCAGCAACAAAAGAAATAATCTCGTCATCAGATTTATTACGAAAATGCTGTCATAATTTGACAAAAACATTCATAATGATAATCTTAGTGTAACTGTGTAATGGTTTTCCAGCCTTATGAGGTTTTGAAATTATATACATATGTCAAAGATGAAACAGATGCCACAAAATTTCTTTCTTTTTCTCCTGGTCAGTGAATGAATGAATAATTTAACTGCTTTTTTCATTGAGAGTAGGGGTAAGGTCAGAGTTACTGGAATTAGCAGTTGCTGCAACAATGCAAAAAAGGGGGTGTTTTCTTGTTGGTCATCAAATGCTCAACATGCTATTAGTAAATTTTTAAATAAAAAGCTGGATGCAACATAATCTATCGTTTGACACATTTTCATTATGTTCCTTTGCAAACTTAAATTTCATAGCGTTTTTTACATCATAACAATGGTAGAGCTATATTCTACGGTGCAAGCATAGACGTTCTACTGTATCCAAGCGTCCTCAACTTAGGTTGGCTGGTAGAATACACACGTCGAGGTGCATAGACCTTTCACTAATCTTTTTTGGAAGATTCTGACTGTTCTGGACGATCATGTGGAACGCATATGCAAGCGTTGCCAGCTCGATTCAGTCGGTTGGCTATCTAAGTCGAGTGCAATTTAAGTCATAGCTTCATATAAATAAACAGTAACAGTAGAGTTAGCATTACATTATTTCATGTTTGTTGTTTTTGATAAATAGTTTTGTGATTTTTGGCCTTTGTATCTTTGATGATGGACTATTTTTAAAGATTAATAAACATAATTTTGTAGATAAAGAAAGCATGTCTCCAACCACTGGCACGATTATGAAGAAAAAAATATCATAAATACGATGTCGGTTATTTAGAGTTTAGTTTTACATCCACAGAAATGAATGGTGAAGAGAGATTACAATGTGTATTGGGTACAAAAGTTTTGGCAGAGGAGTATAGGCTTCCAAGTAATTGAAGTGCCACTTTGAAGCTAATCATCGAAACATAGTTTGGAAATCTTGTGATTTTTTTGCCAGGAAGTTAAAAGAACTGGAACAACAAAAAGATACACTTATTTAAGACTGCATCAATAATCTTTAGCCAATAACACAATGGAGGATATCAGCAATCAATTACTTGAAAAAATTAAAGGAGTGAAATTTGGACTGCAGCTAGATGAGGCGATGGATAAATATGATATGTTATGTACGGTTTATAAATGGTAACATGAAAGACCTATTTTAAATATCATGGCAGAAGCAAAGGCTCAGGACCTGTTCGAGATTCTTGACACATTCATAGCTGAAAATAATTGAACTGACCTAAGTGTGTTGTTTGTACTGACCATGTTCACACCATGTCTGGCTGCTATGGAGAATTACAGGCACTTGTTCGAAGTAAAGCATCAAATGTACTGTGAACTCACTGTATTATTCATAGAAACGTCAGAGCTTCTGAAAATCGGGTGTTAGAATTCATGGTGAATGTGGTAAGTTTTATAAAATCTCCTCCATTTAAAGCAGTGTTTTTAAAAATTATCTGAGGATATAGGAACCAAACACCATCTTTGTTGTACTGCATGACGGCTCTCTTGTTGTAATGTTTTATCATGTAACTTTGAACTATGGCAAGAAATTTTTATTTTCCTTAAAAAGGAAGGATACAAAGATGCAGAAGATTTTGCTGATATCAGTTTTTTTAATAAAACTGGCATGTTATTTTTGAAAAGCTGACATGTCTAGCTTCAGGGACAAAACTTGCATCTTTTGAAGTAAACAGAAAAAATATCAGCTTTTATTAAAAAAAAATTTAAAAATAAAAAGAAACAAACTATCGAGAAGAAAATTGAATGAAAATGTAAGCAAAGATTATTTTTTAATACTGCAGCAAATTTTGACCTCAAATGAACTTCATCTTTCTCAAGATATAAAAACCATGTTTGAAGGCACTTTTCACAGCTTATACTTTAGAACAGGTTTTAGAAATACTTTCAAAATGAAGATTTTGTTAGGTTTGCATGAATTCAAGATCCATTTAACACTAGTGCTCTGTATGAATTAACTTTTATGGAAAGAATTGAGTTATTTTGCGACAACAGTTTGAAATCAAAATTTGCCAACATGGAATCGACAGAATTTTAGATTTCAATTCCCCTTTCAAGTGACAAGGCTCAGCAGATTTCAGTTTCATTTTCGACTTCATATTAGTGCAAAGCTTGGTTTTCAGCAATCACTGTAATAAAACACCAATGTAGAGGGGAAAAGAATCAATATGGAAAAGGGATGAGGGTAGCCGTGCCAGTTTAATTCCCCGATTTGATAAAATGTGGATTTACAGGATCATCCACCACATTAATTATTAATTTAATGTTGATAAAATAAAAGTGTTAAACTATTCTTAAATTTAGAAAAATGTGGTTTTGACATAATGTCAAGTAAAAAGATCTCGAAGATATTTTATACCGCAAGCTGATGAGGAAGACAAGGAAATTAAGAAAGTAATTAATGTTAATTCTAACGAATTAATTGAATCTCAGCATCAAAGCAGAGACCTAACCTCGTTGCTTAGCGAAGCTAAAAATTCCAGTAAGATAAATGATTTCAAAGTAAAAGAGAATGGGTTGTTGGTGAAAAAGGAAATAGATAATGGAAATGAAAGGGAATTAATTGTTATTCCTGAAAAATAATAGGGATCAAATGCAGAACTATAAATCTTTGATACAGAACCAAACAAATAATAGTGCTAAAACTCAGGGTAATTTGGTCAATACTCACCCTCCTAATAGTCAAGAAATAGAAAACGAAGTTATTGATATGGAAGCTGACTCACCTTACTTACCTGCTGATTCATCTTCTATGGATAGTGTGTATGATTATTCCCCTACAAGTTCCCCAGTTCCTTCTTCTCCAAAAAGCAAAGATGTGTTAGACAGGACATCAAAGAACTTCTGACAAAAGAACTCATGAAGGTGCTTTTACAGCTAAGAAATTTAAAATACATTCAGAATCTAAGCACGCGTCAGAAAACTTAGCAAAGAGATACAAGAAGTAAAATTGCCGCAAAGTAAAAGCCTCTATTACACTCACTTGATTTCAATAAGGAGTTTATTTTGTAAACTGATCCTTCAAACTCTGGTATGGGTGTCATTTGAGTTCAGAAAGATGAACGAGACAATGAATATCATCCAGTATTATACCTCAGTAAGAAGTTTACAGAAACTGAAAAAAAGTACTCTACCACAGAAAAAAAATGCACCGCCAGAATATTCGCTGTAAAGAAATTACAATATTATTTAGACGGGCATACTAAATTCCTCATCATGACCGATCATAATCCCTTAGCTTGGCACACAAATAATACGAGTCTAAATTCATGACTTATGAGATGGACACTGGTATTGCAACCTTTTAATTAACACTGTCGTTCATCGAAGAAATTGTAAAGTTTATCTGGAAAGGGGGGGGGAGGTATTAATATTGGCTGTAATATTTTCTTACTTATATTTCTCATTTTTATACATATTTATGTCTTGTAATATTGGTTGTAGTATTTTCTTATTTATATTTCTCATTTTTATACACATTTATGTATTTAATATTGGAATGGCAATGTTATCTTGTAACTGTTGCTAAGCAATATCAGAATTGTTTTTCTTGAGAGTTGTAAATTTGAAATTGAAAAAGAGATAAAGAGGAGAAATGGTAGCAGTGAGTTGGAGTAGCCAAGTTTATTTCGTTAAATGCTTAAAAAACATTACAATATACATACATTATATATTAAGAAAAATAAATACACTGTTATTAAAAGATAATAATTCTGAAAATATACTTGCATTTTAATCTGTTTCCAATAATAAAATATTAGATCATAAAACTGTTTTCATTTTATAAGGTCTTTTCTGAAGTAATATAAGGAATATCAAAGCAGAATTCTTAGTAAAAAATCATCAAATTTCAACTTACATCTGACTTCCTGTGTTCATGGAAACTTTTGCTATGCTTCTTTTGCTTTGACTTCTTGTGCTTATGTTCGTAACTATGAGACTCATCCTTTTCCCAAATTCCATTAAGTATCAAACAGTTTAATAAAGTTAAGGAAAAAAAATAATAATTAAACATCTACAATATAAAAATTTTTTTAAATATTTCATATTATATATGAAACTTAATGAACATAAGCAAATCCTTATTTTGGATATATGTAACGCAATTTGTTTCATATTATAAATTTAACCTAAGTAGAAGAATAAAGAGAGTACAAAGGTTTTTTTTTTTTTTTTTTTTTTTTTTTTTTTTTTAATATAATGCAATACTTTTATATGAAAAGTGGAAATTCTTTTCAGTAAAAGTGAAAATTTAGAAATAATTATATTTTCTTCTAATAAGCTGATATTATGTTTCTGTATGAATGCTGCAATAAAGGATTATTCCAAATGACATTAGATTTGAAAAGTTGCAAATATGTTTTACATTTTCAATGCCAATATGATAAACTGAAAAACCTTTTTTTATAACAATTCTTAGTATTTGACATCTCAAATGTTAATCAAAGAAGAGAATTATGTATATAAATGGAAGATTTGGTAATAATTTGAGATTTACTCTAGATGTACCTTTGCACTCTTTTCGTATAATTTACATTTGATATGTATCTAAATTAAAAAAAAAAAAAAAAAAAAAAAAAAAAAAAACTAATAGTAGCAACCCAATTCATAAATTAAATAAATAATAGTACTAATTAGCTTCAAATTTCTGGCAATCCTGTTTTTAATCTCAATTTCAGATAATTGTACTAATTAAAACTACACATGTTTTTACTCTATTTAAAATTCTAGAAAATGTATCACACAAAATAACATTAAATACAGTAATTTTAATAATGACCCTATTAATCCTGGTAAAAAGGTACACATAAATTAAATAAATAATAGTACTAATTAGATTAATAGTCCATAATAAAAATGAATAGGGAAACATAAGACCAGAACTACTTTACTTCTAGTTTTTTTCTCTTGAATAATTTTATGTTTTCATAAATGATTATTAACAGGAGATTCTACAGATTATAATTAGTATTTTAGACAGAATAATAATAAAAAAAATTATGGGGTGTCTTTAATGCAAATTATTTGCCAAAATAAAATAATTTCTTTGGTGGACTGTTCTAAACACTGCCAAAAGCTAAAACAAAATGCCAGTTCAAAATACAAGGACATGAATAAATAAAAAGTGTAATGAATTATTTATCCATTGCTTTTATATATTAATAATAAATTTCAGTGAAAGAAGATTTTCTGTCACAATATCTTAACAAATCATATTCCTGTATCTTTCCCTTTATAGTTCTTAATTGCCTTCATATTCAGGTTAAGTATAATGATATGAACCATACATAAACATTATCAACTAATTTGATAATGGAAAACTTCAGTTATTCCGCATAACCAGCAGCGAGCTGTGGAGAGCTCATGCAAGTCCCATGTTAAATAAATATGTCTCTAACTAGTCCCTTGTTCTTGTTGTTTATTCCTTGTTTCCATTACCACATTTATTACGTGTCATAATCATACTTTGATAAACATTAAACTCCATATTAAAACATGAAATAAAAATTAATTTTTTTTTATTAACAGGAAACACTGAGGTTAACAGGAAAATTGCATAATGAAATTCTTAATGTTGTAAAGCTAAAATCAATAGAGACGATTACTATCAGTAGCACTAATAGAAAATTAAGTCCTGAATAAGCTTTCAGTTTGATTTACAATATTTGATAACTTAAGCCTTAATCTTTTTGAAAAATCATTGCTTGGCCTTAAAACTTTCTAAAAAATCAACTGATCTGAAAGAAAATAATATGCGGTAGCTTTGTCATAAATTGTATAAAATAATTATGTTTGTTAGTCTATGTAATTTTTGCAATTTAAAAAAAATTTAAAGATTGTTTTATTTTAAAATATTTTTTAATTCATTCAACATTATTTGTATTTTGTATTTTTTAAAAAAGTAAAGCATTTAAATATAATTTAATATTTCCTTTTCATAAGATAAATTGCAAACCCTTTTCAAAAATTTTCATATAGTTGCAAACAATTCACATATCATTTATTGATACTTGAAATCTTTCTATAATACCAATTATAATGAACATCTCATTTTAATAATTCTTGAGGTCTGAATATTGCAACATTAAAACAAATCATCATAAAGATGTGCATTTTCAGGATTCATCAAAATTGCATTATATAAAATAAGCATTAAATAAGATTTTATTTTATTACATAATTCTACATTTTATTATATGATTTTACATGACATCTAAAATTGTTAAATGCACTTTTTGAAATAATAACAACAGTGAAAAAATTTGGTACTACAATATGAAAAAATGAAATCAAAACAATATTTATGCCAAATTTATTTAAATCAAGGGTTTTCAACATTTGGTATTCTGTGATAGGTTCAAAGTTAAAAAAATTGCTAACTTGACAACAGCATTATAAATTAATAGGCAAACTACAGGCTAGATAATTGAAGGTAACAAAGCTATACCTTAGGAAGGTTGATCAAGGTTCGACTAATCACTGATAAACTGTATTAAAGCATAAACAAACACAATCATCTTACTAGTTATCCAGCAAAATTCATTTACTTAAAAAAATTTTTAATTTACTAAACTCTTTATACCATTTCGTGTTTATGGATAGATATAATTTAAGATTTCAAATTTAATATACATGTAGTTATCAGGTACTTGTATATTAAGCATGGCCAACAAGTTAATCACAAAACAAATTTTGGTCGACTGCATTTGTAAGAATATTTTTAATGATTAACACACAAATTATGTCATAATTGCTAAATGTTATTATTAATGCATTTGGGGGGGGAAGCTTCATATCTGACTTTCTTGTTGATGGCCCAGAAAGCATGGATGTTATGAGATTGATAGATATATTGTAATTCATTTTGTAAGTAAAAAATTGATCCCAACAAGAAACAACTTGATCAGAATGTGTTAAACTTTATGAGTGTGATCATGATCTTTATGAGAAACTTGAGTTTTATCTTTAATTCATTTTGAAGGTAAAAAAAAATTGATCCAAACAAGAAACAAGTTGGTCATTTTTTCTGCATATAAATATATAAAGGCAATGGAAACAAACATCTGGAAATCCAGCAATCCAAATCTCAAGCCAATGTTTGCACCTGTGGTTGAGAACATTGAATGATTTTGGATTTCATAAGCAACAGCAGAGTATGAAGTTTCGTGCATATAATGCATAATTCCGAATCCTTAACACCAGTGTCCAGGATATGGTAGATATTATATCCCACATAATCTCCTAATTTTAAAGCAAATGAGCCTGTCCAGGATATGCAAAATGATAGAGTTGGAAAAATGATTTTTTTAATCTCCTCTCATCATTCCCCTTCAATGTACAATATTCCATAAACCAGGATAAAATTCAATTATCTGCTTCTACAGCGAAAATTGTTTATATTCAGCTCTAAATTTAAGTACTTCATTTTCTCTTAGCTCAATAAATGCTTCCTTTGATCTTGGAAAGGCTTCTAAAACTTAACAGAAAAATGGGTACATTCATTTTAAATGCTGGTTGTTTAAAATTTAAAATCAAATTGTTTTTTTGAAATCCAATTCCAGACATTTAAAAAATGTCAGTATTCATGTACACCTTCATCACTTTTCCCTAAATTTCAAAAATTTGGAAAGTGACTATGGATTTTGCAAGTTTTTTTTACAGGTTTGTAACTTTGCCACAAATGCACAAATTTAATTTTTGGTTTTAATTAAATTCAGGTCATCATCACCTTGGAGTTGAAGATTGGATTTAATGAATATATTACATAAATCTGTCGGGCAAGCTATACCAGTTTTTGAATTTATTAAATCTGCTCTTAAAACAGCATTTTTTTTCTTCCAAAAACTCTAGCACTGAGTTACGGGGCGTATTCGGAAATTAAGTACCGTTTTGAAAAAAAAAAATAGTAAAGCAATTTTTTCAAACCCAATTTTATTTTTACATGAAAATACATGTCTTAAACTATTTTTCAGCATAGTTTCCGCCAATGATCAAACAATTGTCATAGCGGGTGACCAGTTTTTGTATACCATCGTCAAAGAAAGAAACTTCCGCCAGTTTCAATAACCACGACTCCACAGCATTTTTCGTGTCATCGTCATATTCAAAGCGCTTGCCACCAAGCTCGCGCTTCATGTGCAGGAACAAGGGATAGTCGGACGGCGCCAAGTCCGGGCTGTACGGCGGGTGATCAAACTGCTCCCAATGAAACTGTCGAATTAACGATTGAGTGACACCAGCAGTATGGGGCCAAGCATTGTCATGGAGCAACACAATTCCTTTACTGAGCATTCCTCTTCGTTTGTTTTGAATGGCAAACCTTAGTTTTGTTAAAGTCTCACAATATTGTGCCGCATTAATGGTTTTTTCGGAGAATGAGTGTGTCTCCACTCTATCGATTGTTGTTACGATTCTGGTGTGAAATGACACACCCATGTTTCATCACCTGTCACAATTTGTTAAAAAAGTTTTCTCCCTCATCACTGTACCGCGTGAGAAATGTCAGGGCACTATCAAGTCGCTTTGTTTTGTGAACATCAGTGAGCATTTTTGGAACCATTGGTAACACAGTTTGCGATAATTCAAGCGGTCAGACACAATTTCGAACAAAATAGTACATGAAATTTGTGGAAATGCCTCTAAAAGAGTTGTCATTGTGAAGTGTCTGTTCTCATGCATTGCTTCATCAACTTTCCTTACCAAATCATCAGTGACAACAGAAGGCCGACCACTCTGAGCCTCAGCGTGGACATTTGTTCGACCTGCATTAAACATTCTTACCCACTTTCTCACCATTCCATCACTTATCGCGAATTCACCGTAAACTTCTGTCACTTGACGATAAATTTCGGCCGGTTTAACATTCCTTGCGTTCAAAAATTTAATCACAGCACGAATCTCACAGTCAGTGGAAGAACTAATTGTCTTAAACATTTTGAATGTGCA